AGTAGTACAGTTACTGTACATATAGCAGGTAAAATACTAGTCTCGCAGTGACAGACCACACCATGAACCATATGTATCATAATACTGTATCTATGTATAGGGGTACCAGTATCAGTTATTAATATAAAGATAATACCAATTAATAACAATACAGTATTGATGAACTGGTACTATGAAAAGAATGATGAAGCACACTGTATTCAATATTATAATATTACAATAATCAGTGATGAGAAAATTGAAGTACAAATGATCAGTAATGAATCATCAGCAACTATTCCTTCTCTTATTATTGGTACTAATTATTCATTTATTATTATTCCTATTGATACTATTGGAAGAGAAGGACCTCCTTCATCATTAATACAGTATATATGGAATGGTAAGTACTATACACACACATACTCATTGTATTTCTTATAGTACCAGCTCAAGTTAATATTAGTTGGGATCAGATATCAACTGATAGTATTACAATATGGTGGAATATCAATGAAGTATGCTAAGATATTATTAACTATAAATCATTATTATCATTAATAGGATGTTACATTACATTATCCTCCAGTACATTACATTGTTAGTGTACACAATATTACTATTAATACAACTGATACTAATGTAACTATTAATGGACTATATCCCAATAATGAATATACTGTATACATAAAACCAGTTAATGCTATTGGAGAGGGACTACTGATTAACATTACAGGTTTGTTTATCACAGATTAATGTGTAGTATAATGGGTAGTGTGTTTATCTTTCCATATAGTCAACATAACTAAGCATATAAATGATAATACAAATGCATTTATTTGGTCTACTCTAGCAACAACTAGCTTAGCTGTATATGCTTCAGTATCTGTTTAGCATATCAATGAAACAGTACTAACAGGAATGTGTATTTGTCATAGTTTGTCTTTCATATTTTTACAATTACAGTTACTAAAAGATCATCTAATGCTATCACAAGTAGATTAACCACAACTTTGAACGTCATTGAAAATACGTTTGCAGCAGTAACTTCAAGTAGTACAATGCAATCAACAGCAACAAATAACCGAACTCAGTCAACAGTTACAAGTAGCATATCACTGTCAAGTAGTGGATCTATAAATTCAAGCTTAATGTCTTCAATTTTTGGTGCTATTGGTGCAATTATAATTACATGTATTATAGCAGTCATTATAATTCTGGTCTGCATTATGTATAAAAGGAAACATAACAGTAAGTATGGGCATAATACACATTAACTACATTATTATACTGTAGGTGTAAAAAAGAAAGAAAGGTTTTTATTATTTATTTATTTATTTATTTACTTATTTATTATTAATAATTATTGTAGGGATATTAACAATAACACAGAATTTGAAGTAAATTAAAGTATTGTTTTTTACATTTGAAATAATTTTGTTATTATTAGTTGAGGAACACGAACAATCATGATGTAACACAAAATTCATATATTATATCATTAAATGTTATTTATAGCTACAACCAACTGGATTGGAGTCATATGCTGTAGCAACTGCTGGAGGACAGTCCATTGAAAGTAAGAATCAATGTATATGTAGAAGTGAGTTGTTTATTGACAGTCCATAAAAGTAGAACAATAACTTTCTCACTATTTACAAAGCTATGCATTGTCTAACACAAAAAACATCATCGTGAAAGAATAACATCATTAAGTCTTGCTATATTGTGTACTGTAACATCCAAATGAGAAACAACAGACTATAATACACATATGCAGTATACACTATAAGGCTGGATATTGTTTGTAGGTCAGTACAGTGTCATTAGGAAAGGTGATATAATGGAATATGAAGAAGTACCTCCACCAATACCTCCTCCATACAATTACAATGAAGTAATTATCATTATAATGTATTGACATTAATAATAATGACAGATACATAATGAGCAGAATGGAAAATGTCCCGTGTACTCTACAGCCAATAAAAATCAAGTGAGTGAGTCCATTATTGCATCGTTATACTGCATAAGTAAAACCAGATTGATGACTTACAATATAATTACAGGTCAATAATGAT